AGCATTTAGAAGTTTCTGTTAAAGAGCTGTTTAACACCACAATTTCTGCATTCCGTTCCAGATGCGTTTCTGCATGTGTGCTTTTGATGCATTCCAGTGCAAAAACTGTAGCTGCTGACTCTTAAAAAAAAACACTCACCTGTCCTTTGATCGAGCGGTGTGTTTTCACAAGTCATCCCCGGCATCTTCAGTGTGGGCACCAGGCTGTAACAGCTTGTGGCTTCACAGCTGGGTGCTCACTGCGCATACCGAGTAGAGCTGCACTTTGTGAATAGTCTGCAGCGGAAGTGGGAGTGGGTACTTGTCAAATTCGAGTACCTACTTCCCAAAAGGTGCCAGTCCTTAACGGGGAGCAGGGGACGAGGCCTTAAAGCAGAACTTACCCTTTTGGGTGGAGCTCAACTTTAAAGCATTCCCTGCATACCCCACCCTTCCTATCCCTCGACACTTACTCCAGCAAAGACCTGGTTGCAGCACCATTCTCCTCTCTTCTCTTCCTAGTCTCACAAAAGACCTAGAGAGCAGCAAGAGGCATAGATTGCTGCTGCTGTCAGTAAAACTCCTGTGAGGAGGATACGGGGAGATGGCTCAATGGCAGATGAATGTACACAGCCCGCACTGGAACGTGCACTCGCAAGGGTGCCCACAAAGTACAAGTAGGTTTGCTAAGTCGGCAATTGGAGGAACAAGGAACCACAAAAAAAAAAACAAAAACAAAAAAAAAAAAACACACAGGTCAGGGATCACTCTGTGCAATATCATAATATACACTCACACACACTCAACAACCTTTTTATTTCAAGACACCATTGACAAATCATTACCTGCATTTATGTGCTTTTTATTTTTTAAAAGTCCTCTAAATGCATATAAATGCAGGTTTCGCACTGCCAGGTGAATGAGGCATTAAGCCAGAAGAAAATGAGACATAAGATATATGAATAAAATCCACTGTACAATCCAAACTAGAGAAATACAACTTTATAAACCTTTAATTAGACCGCCTGTAACATATGGATCTGAAACATGGTGTTTAACACAAGTGGGCGAGAATGGATTGCATTAAGTAAATTCACTAAAGCAGCATATTAGGATGGACTATTAGGAAGAAAAATAAGAGATTTAATTACAAGATTATATGTAGGACCAGACAAGTTAGCATATTCACTTTGGTTTTTTTTGTTTTTTTTTTATTTGAGACTGAATATTTTGAAAAAAAAATTAAAATATTTTTTACTCTCTGGTATAACACATATCCAATAAAAAAAGTTAATCAAATTTCTTCATAAAATTTAAACCAAAAATATACTCTGCTACACGTCTTTCGTAAAAAAATACCAATAAGCATATATTAATTGGTTTGCGTGAAAGCTATAGAGTCTACAATATTGGAATTTTTAAAAAATGTATTATACTAGTAGTGGTGGCAATCAGCGACTCATAGTGGAACTGTGATAGCGCTTAAGGCGATTTGACACGAACGCTTTGTGGACATCACCTGTGGACACTAATACAGCGATCAGTGCCAATACTATCACTGTACTAATGAGACTGGCTGGGAAAGGGTGAACATCTAGGGGCAATCAAAGGGTTACCGGTGTGCCTAATAAGTTTAATGTGTGCACTGTGTGCTACTGGATGTGACTGTTTTTTACTCCCTCCTTTGCAAAGAGGAAAAAAAAAAAAAAAAACAGCCGCATTGCTGCACTCAGAGAGCCCTGTGTTGTTTACCAACAAATCATTGGCCGGGACTCGCCGATTGGCTTGTGCTGTAGCCTATGACAGCACAGCTGAGGCGGTGGGTGCGCGACCCCCTACACATAAATGCTGCATCGCGTACATTTACGTGAGCCAGCTCAGCCGGGCCGCCCTGTAGCCATTCATCTACAGTGAGCGTTTCAGAAGCGAGTATGGATAGTTTATTATACTGACACAGAGGGGAATTTACCAAGACAGGAGAAGCAAGAATCTGGAGCACCTGTGCATGGCAACCAATGAGCTTCTAGCTTTCATTTTCAAAGCTTAAAGTGGGATTACACTGAATCTGAGCACCACAAACCAAAAACACCATTTGATTTATTTTTCATATTCAAAAGCAAAACACATCCATCCATCTATGTCTCCATGCTTTGTCCTGCTGAAAAATCACTGAAAAACACCCCTAGCATTTCAGGCTGTGGCCATCTTGAGCAGGGGCAGATGATTCATCTAGCATTTACTATCCATCTACCCTTAGCTCAGCCATGCATGCAGGAAGGAAGGCGTGCTTAGCTGCAAAAACCCCTCCTCCCCTTCTGAAGACTCCTGGGATGTACAACATCATTTTCCTAGGCATAGGGACCAGGAAGTAACTGGGGAAATGTAAATTAGAAAAAAAAAATGAAGTGTAAAGCAGAACTCCAAGCAAAAACATATCCATGTCCTAGTTGCCGATTTCCTACCTTTACTGAATGTGTCATCCATCTTCTTGTTAACTCAGTAGTAGCTCTAACAAAGGCTGATGATTTTTAAATAAAACCGTTAATTCCCATGGGTTTCCAGTTAGTAAGAACAGTGGCTGCTATTCCTCCTATTCCCGCAGCCACCGGTCTTTGCACTTCCCTTCAGTAGTTCTTTTTCTAGAAAGCCGTGATGTACTTCCATCTCTGGTGGCTGGCTGTAGTGGGCAGACCGGGACTCTCAGACTCATGGTGTGTGCTGCCCATGAAGGCTGTAACCTAACAATTACAGCTCTGGACACTCTGGGTCTTGTCTGCCAAACCCCCAACCACCTCCCGGGCCAGGAATCTCTTCCCCTCCTTTTTTGCTTTGAGGTCAGCAGGCCATGTCCTAGCAACTGATGTCTCATCTCAGGTCCCCGACAGAATAGAAGCAAAGGGGAGGGTCGGGATTCAGAACCACCGGCATTATGACAGCCAAGTGGGGGCACAGGCTTGGTCATCACTACTAACAGCACAGATTCCCTGGGGATACGCAAGGGGGACGGACGGACGGACGGACGGACGCACGCACACGCACACACACACACGGCTCACGATTAACCCCCCAATTGCCTGACGCTTTTACCATTTAACCTTTTTAAATTTGCTGTGCTTGATAGGAAATGTAGTTTCTAATCACTGCAGAGAGAGAGGGGAGAGGATATGGTGTGATTCCTGATATTTTACCTCCTCCTTGGCAGAGCAGATGCTGTTATTTTTTTTAATTGAAGAGATGTCATCCTGAAAATTCAATTGGACTTTTCTCTTCAGTGGTAAGGATTTTAAACATTAAACATTTAAACACTATTAACTAGTGTTTCGTATAGGGGTGGTGTACAGATGATTTTTTGCCCATCCCAGAGTTCTTCTTTAAAACAAGTAAAAATAAAATACTTTCCAATCTAGTTATTAATGCTAACAGTATATAACATTATGTCAATGTTGATTGAGAGACAAAAGTTCCATTTTAACTGAACAAGCTGAAGATAGAAGCGAACTGATTGCCATGCACAGCTACAGAAGATTCTGTCTGCTCCAGTTTTGATAGATTCCCCGCATATAGTATATGCAGTAATAATGAATGAGGACAAAAGCGTTAATAAAATCTTTTTAAAGAAAAAAACAGAAAGAAGCACTGATAACCAAAAAAACAATAACAGGCAAAAATTCCCAGTATCTGAGATACTAAGGCCGGAGAAACACAGGAGAGAAAAAGAGTGCACAAATCCTGCAAAAGGCCAAGGACTTTCAAAAGCTATAGTGCTACAGACTACATAAGTCAGAAAGCCTCTACATTTCACAGTCCTTCCAAGTCATATTGGGTTACAAAAAGGGCACATTATGCTTAGTGAGAAAGATTAGAACAGTTACTGTGGCCTAGACGCCATGAGCTTATCATATCATATATAAATATGACACGAGACCCCTGGGAAATGTTTACTGGACTCAAACTAGACCCAAGGGGAAATATTACAGGGGGTATATTCCAGAGTAAAGACATGTACTCAACCATAACTAAAAATCTTTCAGATTTCTTTAGTTTAGATGTACTATCTTCACATTAGCACTGAATATAAATTGTTATATGTGAAAAATGCAGATATTATTAACCCTTTATACTTTTTAGTCTGAATTTAAATTCTCACTGGCAAAACTATGTTAAGAGACTTAATTAAAGCAGTGTTAAACCCAAAAGCAAACATTTATTATATTGCAGCTTACCAATTCTCAGATGTGATGGCTGTGCTAGCTTCCTTTTTCTCTTCTATTTTCTTCTGGTGAACCAGCCGGCAAGTTTGTTGCTTTTGAAATAACACAAGCTCTCTAGCAGAATGCATCGGTATACATGGATGAGACAGACCATCTAACACTGGCAGGGGTGGTTAAAATGATCAGCCTTTATTTATTCATGCAAAACCTTTATCCCATAAAGAAAAAAACGGTTTGCTGTGACAGATTATAAAGAGTGGGCTGGAGTTTGTCTTCCATTTGTTATTGTATCTAAATCTGCTAATACAAATACATTTAACACTACCCTCCCTCTGCAGACTGACAATGGTGCTGTTTGCTGTGCTTCCCATCTCATCCATCCAGAGTTTTGTCTCACTAATAGAGAAGGGATGGTAATGGCCAGATCACCAGGTAAAAACAAAGGGGGGAGAAACAAAAAACACAAAAAACAAAGGAAAACAAAACTGATGCAGCCAATACATCAAATGACTGAATAAGCTGCAATATATTACATTTTTGGTTTTGTGTTTAATACTGCTTCAAATTTAGAGTATGGTCCCTCCAGTGTCGTCTCACCAACACCAGTAATTTTAACTCATACTGTGGAAAACTGTTCAAACGCATCCCTTTAAACCAGGCCTGAAAAGCAAGTAAGTTTTGGTCAGAACCAGCCATCGATAGGTCTACATACATTATGCACCAAGATAAAACCAATTGACTGGTTTCTACAATTGTTAAAATGTTACAGAATACGAAGGCACTGGTAATCCATAAAAAAGGTGCTCCTACCTCACTATCTTTCGGGCAGCTTCGCTTGCTGCTGCAGTTATAGAAATCCTTGTTCATTTGCAGCTCCTCATTGCTACACTCTGAAGAAGCAACCCGTTTCTTACTGCCACATTCTGTTGATTTCTGTTCATCTTCAAAATTTGGGGAGGTAAAGGTGCCTTCAAAATTCAACTTCTTTCTCACTTCCCACGTCCTGAAATCAAAATCACTTTTCTCTTTGGCTTCAATTGTGCAATATGGCTCTGGAAAAGGGGCCTCTCCTAGAAGAGCATCTTTCTCTAGCTCTTCCACTTCAAGCATCACATTTGGTGACTCAATTAGTTCATGAGTAAGATGCCTAAAACATCTTTTTTCAGACAAAATTGGATCCACATCATCACTTATTCTGTATTCAAGCTCAGATTCCAGATTATTGGGCTGAAACTTTGTTGGAAAGATAACCTCCAAATCAGCTGGGGGAATTTCTTGCGCCACTTGTTGCCTCCACAATTTGTTGTGTCGTTGTTTACTAAAAATAATAAAAGTTACTGATTTTTATCACTGATCAACAACTCTAAGTCTTATAGGAAGGTAAAACTGTCAGCCTCCTAACAGATTAAAGCACAGGAAAGACCCTAAGCACGGGTGAAAATTTAACATTTTTGTCAAGATATGAATACCTAATGATTTCTTGAGCAGCTCATAGGTTATGTAAATTTTCTTTCCTTTGACCACAGGTGGAAGGAATAAAAAATTATTAATTCCTCACAGTCAGTGTTAATGGGGGAATCCCCCCTCCCCCCTACACACACAGCACTATTGTGTTCTGCTGGTGATCTCATGAAAAAAATCCAACAGGCTGGTTGCGCTGAAGTTGGTTGATGGATCAGCATCAGTACAACCAGTCTGGCCATAGACGGTTTGAATCTTGGCTGATCCTTGCTTAACTGTCATTCAATCCATGTATGGCTAGCTCTGGTCTTTTGGGAATTGCTTTACAGCACTAAGATGTTGTTACAGTTGTTAAAGAGGTTTTTGTTTGAGGTGTTGCGGGACAGATTGTAGTCCCTTTCTCAAACCTTCACCACTGAATTATTCAGCAGCTGTCTCTGTTTTTTTTAGCCCATTTTTGTCACAGACAGAATTCTTCATATATTTGATGAGAACTCATTAGTAGCATTCGACTGTATTTCTCTGCATAGCATCCTACTATGAATTTGCATTTGGAACATGTTAAAGCCTAACTTATGTCAACAACTTCAATCCTGGCCTAGCATGGCTGTGGACAGGAAGGGTAATATTAGTAACATTAGTACCCTTTAGCAGAAGTGATGGCAAGCAATATGGGATTAAAATGTCCTGTTCCTACCTTTCTCATAAGAAATTATGGTATATTACCTGGCATCAAGGATTCCCTCATACTCCGAGAGCTGACGCATGAAACCAGCATTTGGTCTGGTGACACTGCGCCTTTGTTTGACATAACTGTATGCATTCTCCATGGACCAGCCATACTCTTTCATGGCATAAGCAATGACTGTAGAAGCTGAGCGACTAACTCCCATTTTACAGTGCACCAGACATTTGGAATTATTTTTCCTGTAGATATAACAAAGATAAATCATATTTCAGAAGTATTAGGGCTCTAATAGTAACACCAGACAGTTAACATGTGTCCATGCATATGTACAAGTTGGTACCAAATAGAAACAACATGCGGTTGTTTCCTCTGATATTTCCCGCGAGTCTGCAATTTCATGGGGAAAGGAGCAATGGTTAAGAGAAACAGGAAATACATTGGTTAACAGAGACCCAAAAAAAAATAAAAAAAAAAAATTATAAAATCATCTTTCCACCCCCCTCCCCCATCATAATTTCCTTTGCTAAAAATCATAGACTTTGAAATAAGCTAAATTAGTGAAGAAAAATATTTAAATATTTATGGTTTATCATCAAATTATAGCTAAAAAAAATGTAGTAGAATTTTTAAGAGCAGCATTATAACTAGGCAAAACTGTTGAGTGAAAAGAACAAAGACTACTATGTTTAGCATTTATTTATAGGTCTAAAGAGAGTTTTTTGGGGGGATTATAACCAGAGGCACTCTAAGAATCATGTGAAAGGAATTTAAAGAAGTTCAATAAGTGCAGCAATTTTCTTTATGCAACACTGAAACTCCCCCCCCAAAAAAAAACAAAAAATAAGTGAATACTTTTATATACACTCAATATCCAATGTGCTGGAAATTCAATGCAAAATGTTCCACTAGTGGATCATGTGGTTGTGACGTAATACGTAAGGGCATAGTGGGTGAAGTCATTGCGCTACATAGGAAATGGTCCAATATCAGGAAAAGCGGAGCTGACCATGGAAATGTGATCTCTTAAGGGCAAGAGATTATGTGCATAGAATTTATTGCTGAGGGCATAGCTTGGTAGCACATGGAGTAAGCAGCAGGGATGGCTGTTTGATCTTTATATCCTCAGACATCTCTCAGTCTGTGCTACCTGGTGCTGCTCTGGTCCTAATACCTAGTGTAGGCTACCGGGCAGGGACACTAAACATAGCAGACCTAGTATCCCAAAATGGCAGCCTCTCTCCAGCTGTGATTGCAGGAGAGGACACACTGGCTGATGATTGGAGCCTAGAGCCTGCAGAAACATCTACCTGGGATGCTGTAAGGACACAGACCCTTGGTGAATCTAACTCCTTGGAGAGGGATCGGGGGCCAGATGATTCTGAACCCACACTCACAAGACAAATTTTAGAGCAGGTAGCTCCTGCAACACAGCCATACCTGATCTTGCATCTGAAATTAAGGGAGCTTGAATTGACCTTGGTGAGGCAAGGTATGTAGTACGTACAGGACTGTACAGTGGCCCTAGTGGGAAAGGTGAGCATGATGGGAGGATGAATGCTTGCAGTTTTAAACAGATGTCCAATATGTGCACGCTGTATCCACTGGCCATGTAGCCCGCCTGGATGATTTAGAGAACAGACTAAGATGCAATACTGTGCGGGAGTCATTGGAATCCCGGAGCGGGCTGAAGGTAAAAACCCTGCATTGAAAACTGGTTGATCAACATTTTTGGCAGAGACTCCTTCTCTCTTGTGTTTTTTTTGTGGAATGGGCCCTAGCTAGGCCCCCCCCGCAGTGTGTTTAACCTCCACACCCCATTTCTCTTCAGGCTACTGAACTTCAAAGATCATGATGCTATTCTTGCTAAGGCTAGAACCATGAGTGAATCCCCCTGTTGCAGATAATGCCAAAATCTTGCTGTACCCGGATTTCACAGTGGAGCTCCAACACAGGAGGGCCACGCTTACTGGGGTGAAACAACGGCTCCGATGCCTTAACGCCACCTATGCTATGCTCTACCCTGCTTGCCTCCGTGAGGTCGCCAAAAAAAATGACACTCGCTTTTTTGACAATCCCACATCTGCAATGCAATGGCTGTATCGGGTAAAATGTACCCTGAAAAATACCGCTGCAGAATGACATACTGTGAGGGAATGTCCTTTGATCACCAGCATGAGGTTCCGTAACCTGTGGCTTTCCTTACTGGGGGCTTTTAATCTCTCCGATCAAGGCGGAAATTAGGAACTGTTTCATGATACTCTGGTTACTACTTGTTTTTTTTGTACCTTTAGTAGCTCAAGTCTTGGTTCTAATACAGAGAGACCCTCTACACTTCAGTCCTGTGTGGACAGTTTGATATCTTCTGATATTCATATGCTATTGGGTTTCAGCACTCTTTTTTTTTTTTTTTTGCTCCTTGCGATCTAAATTTGACTATTAATGTTTTTTTGTTTTTAATTCTTCACTTACAATGCTCATTACCGGTTGTGATGGGCAAAGAATTTTTAAAAAGCATTTTTAATGGAGCTATAGATTCGAGAATAATATTTACATGCATAGTTTGCTACAAGTGTAGAAGTACTTGTGGTAATACCGAATGAAAGTAAACCAATACCAACTTTGCTTTGTTAATGAAGTTATAGGCATCATTCCAATGGGACAGCAGGTCAGTACTCTCCTCGTCATAAACTCGAATGTTGTGATAGGCAAAAAGGCCAGGAAAGAAGTTGTCTATTTCTCTAGTCACATTAAGTATGTAGCCAATTCTGTAAAGGAAAACAAAAAAAAAAAACAATTTTGACACAGTAAACATATATTAAGTTACACAACATAAAAAGGAGAAAAAAACATAGAAATCAGGCCCTTATCCACCGCACTTTTGATGCTGCCAGAGTACTATAAAAAATATAGTTAAAAATTCTTACTGGTCAAGTCCAAGGTTTGGAGGGTTTTCTACAATCAATGGTCAAACTGCAAATGTGCACATATGAAATACAAAAGGTCATGCTTTTAAAAACCACTAAAAAGTTTGGCCATTGTTCATAATAAACACAGTGCTTGGATGTGATCAGTGCAGGTTTTAATCATTTGTATTATACAGCAATTTGCCCATACCTTCTACTTCTCAGTGGAGGGCAGCCCAATTTGCAAAAGAATTGCCATTCACCATTACTTTCTGTAAGACAACACAGATGAGCTAGAAAAAGGCCACACACACACACACCAGTTTTAGTATATTTTGTTCTCAGTGCTGGGTATGTAGCACTGGCAATTTAAGCCAGGGATGTCATTAAAATCATGGCTTCCCATACATCCTACCTGACGGCAGCCTGTGGGATGACTATGTGTGTCCAAAAGGTATTTATAGGGAGTCCCCCCCCCTCTCTCCCCCACTGAACTGGTAGAACCTGGGTCTGGTACAGGAGGGCAGGAGGGCCGGCTCTACTGCCCTATCTGCGGCCCTAGTTTTAGCCCAAGGATTTCAGCGTCATGAACTAGTCAGAATATATTCTAAACACTTTTATTAAACCCTCAGTTTTTCAGCTGTTTCAGCAGCTTATTTAATCACATGCTGGGTATGCAGCTGCTTTAGCTTTCAATCTCTGCCTATGTTCCTGTTTAAGCTGGTGTCCTGACTGCTGACCCACACCCACCTCATTTATTTACTGTTCTGTGAAAGAATGAACTACAAGTCCCATCTTTCACTGTGGCAGATGGCTTGTAGTTCTCAATGAACTATGAGGGCGCTGATGAGCGCTCTTGTAGTTTGAGTCCTCCTGCAATTCAGTAACTGTCTGCGCATACGGGATGTAAGGGCAAAGAGCTATACGGAATGTGTCTGAAGAAGCCTGGCAATGCACCTGCGATCTGCTGATTACGGGTGCAAGAATTTACAGGTAGTAGCATGAAAAAAAATAAATAAAATGCACATTTATTTTTTTTTTTTTTTCTTAAGAAAAGGCAAATTTATCTTTTACTGCTCTCCTGTGAAGACCATAAGTTCAGGGAAGCAGCACTGAGAAAGCAGGAGCCAGCAGCATTGAAAGTTAGAAAATTTCAACTGCTACAGTGAGAAGTGTAAAAGATAGTTTACTGGGCAATGTTCATTTTATTGTGCTCAATGTGATAAGCTAACAAAAACTGAGGCTTTAATACTACCTTAACTGACCTATCTTCTGAAATGAGTCCTTAAAATTTAACTGCACTGCATCTGAGCACCGCAAACCAAAATGCTATTTAATTCATTGTTAATATTGAAAGAAAAAAAATTCACCCATCCATCCATGTCTCCATGCGTTGTTTTTCTGAGAATTAATTTTGAACCCCCCCCCCCCCCCGGTATTTTTGTTGGTGGCCATCTTGAGTAAGGGCAGATGATTCATGTGGCATTTACTTTCTGTAATCCATCTGCCCTTAGCTCAAGGCATTGGCTGAGCTGAGAACCCTCCCTCCCCTCCTGAAGGCTCCTGGGATGTATGACATCATTTGCCTAGGCATGGAATCCAGGAAGTAACTGAGGAAATGTAAAAAAAAAAAAAATTAAACGTTTAAAAACTAGTAAATATGATATACTTTCCTATCTGTTTACTAAAGGTAGCAGCAGAAGGATTAAAAATAGTCAATGTTTATTGAGAGAGTGAAGTTCCACTTTAAGACTTAAACCCTAAAATCTCAGGGAGTTCCACGCACTCTGTAAAAAAAATAAAAGTCAGCAGCTCCAAAAACTGTAGCTGCTGTCTTTTATAAAACAGTCACTCACTTGTCCCACGATCCCCACGTTGCCCCCGCTGCAGCCCGTTTCCCCCCAGCCATCCTGTATTCAAGGCGCCGACATCTTCACTGTGGGTACCCGGCTGTGACAGCTTGCGACTTCACAGCCGGGTGCCCACTGCGCAAGCACGAGTAGCACTGAGCTTCCTGAATGGCCCCGTCGTCTTCTGGGACCTGTCACGTGTCCCACAAGACTTCAGGGAGGGAGGGTAGGAGGACAACTTCTGCTTCCGATCACCTAGGTGATCGCAGCAGAAGTGGGAGCGGGTACCTGTCAAATTCGGGTACCAGTTCCCCCCCCCCACTCCCCAAAGGTGCCAATCCTTAATGGGGAGCGTGGGACCAAACTTTAAAGCGGAACTTACCCTTTTGGGTGGAACTCCGCTTTAATACTGACATAACCCATAAACTAGGCCCTTGAACAAGTACTTATATCATGCCTAAACAATGTATGGGGAGATAACTATTAGGAGGATAATATGTATGCGAATGGGCACCTAGAAGATGACAGGAGGTGAAAAGTTATTCTGGCTTACAACAGCAGGTAACAAAACCGCTCAAAATTCAGCTACGAAGAAAATGGAAACACATGTTAAAAAAAAAAAAAAAAAAAAAAAGGCTTTTTTTGAGGCGAGACCTGCTTGTTTCTATTACCAGCATCTATTTTAATCTAAACCATTATTTATGGGTGAACTAGTGATATAGTGGATAAAAGGTGATCATGCAATGAGTACCATCATCAATGAGATTACTATAACTTAAATTAATGCATATATCTGAAGTTCTGACTTCACAAACGCTATTCACACAGCAAATAAAAAAATAAAACAGGCACCATAGTAAATTAACAGTCTAGGAAAGAAAAAAAAACAAAACAAAACAAAAAAAAAAAAAAAAAAAAAAAAAAACACAACCCTTACCCTGCATTGTTGAGTTCCTCTAGGTTTGATGCATTCCATTCAGAGCCCTAAAATTATTATAAAATAAAATATTGTTGAATTGAGATAGATACTTCTCTAGACAGTTTCGGATGAAGAAGACAGGGCTGCACAATGGATATAAAAACTCCAGTGGTGTGGACACAATTCCCTTATCATAGGGGGTATATACTGAGCATCTACAGTATATTCAGATGGTACTGAATAAAGATTACAAAATAAATATATTATAAGTCTGATCCCTGCTTTATTTAAGACTACCCCATTATAAGATGTTCTACTGCTAAAGCTCATCTGCAGCCTTGATCTCTATTTGCATCCCACCCATTTGGTTTACCTGTACACTGAAATCCACACAAAAGTTTCTCCTGTACCTTGCCACAATGCTGGGTTAATATTGTTTTATGGGCAGTGATGTGATTCGTCACTTGTCAACAGTGCTTCATGTTCGGACTGCTAGGTGTAGAGTTCTGCAGCAAAATTTCAAAACTACTTTAGCCCTGACCCTTCAGCCAGCTGGCCAGGCCCATCGGAGCAGGGGGGCGGTATCACTTAACATAAGACAAAGGCACAGGAGGTTGGTTGTGGGCAAATTTGTCCATGCAAAAGCCAAGTTTTTAAGTGCGAAGCCGAGACACACTGTCAATAGCAAGCCTGAACGAGTGCCCCCATAAAAAGCGGATTTCTATGGTGGAAACTCAAAGAAGAAAAAAAAAAAAAAAAAAAAAAAAAAAAAAAAAGGAGCCGGGAGTGATGATGGGGGACCCGAGAAGAGGATCTGGGCTGCTCTGTGCAAAACCATTGCACAGGGCAGGCAAGTATAACATGCTTTTTATTTTGAAGGAAAAAAAACTAAAGCTTTAATATCACTTTAACACTCAAGCACTAAACACGCCTTTAAAAACACGTTTAGGTGTGTCAAGCATTTTTTCTTAAAAACGCTGCTGCTGCTTTCCTAAATGCAAAGGCAGTGGGTTTTTTTTCTGCCTCTAAACACCTGTAACTGCCTAAGTGTGCACATGGACATATAGGCTGACATTGATGGCGTTTAGAAGCAGCAAAAAAAAAAAAAAAAAAAAAAAAAAAAAAAAAAAGCAAAAGCGTCAAACACTCCTAAAATTTTCATTTTTAAACTCCCAGTGTGCACGAGACCAAGTTTTGCAAGTATTTTTCTTTTATACAAGTTTTTCAATGTACTCCAAAACCAAGAAATAATTTAAAATCCAAAAACTTTGGGGTTTCTAACCAGGTGGGTTAATTCCAACACCACCCTCGACCCAGACCTAGGATGTGGGGGTCTATGACAGTAACCAGACTCTTGGGAGATGTCGCCCTAAAAACGCATACTCTCCCTCCTTGCCTTTTCTATTTTCTTCTTCTTGCTATTTAGGCCTTACCTAAGCTACTCTAGAATGATCTAATAGACACGTGGATAGACCTCCACTATGTCTCTTGAGACTATACATACTATATTAACGCTTACTGTACCCACTTCCACATGGAGCATGCATTTGCACAAAATGCAGTTCCTTCCAGAGGAGACCTTAGCAAATAATCTGACTGTATCATGGTCTAAGCACAAGTCAAACCCTATTACGGTTTCTTTATTACTAGCAATCCATGCAGACCTGCATGGATGCCCAAAGCATATCTCAAGGCAAAAAAAAAAACCACACAACATGTTTAATACATATCTGGAATACATGCACATTTCCTATGTTAATTCCCTTAAACACACAGCAAGAACAGAAACATAACGGTTGATGTGCCAACAATATAGCGTGCTCCTACTTTCCTCTGTCATGACAACACAGGGAGGAGGATTTACTAAGACTGGAGCAGCCAGAATCTGGATCAGCTGTGTACGACAACCAATCGGCTTCTATCTCTCATTTTAAAAGCTTAACTGAAAAAGCTGAAAATAAAAGCAGATTTACTATGGTTACTATGCACAACTGCTTCAGATTCTGTCTGCTCCAGTTTTAGGAAATTCCTCCCATTATATTTTTGCCTCTGAATTCCAAAGCATGTCCAGTCAAGTCTGGTCTCTTTGATTTCTGATGCATTCCAAAGAACACAGACCTCTCCTCATCTCCATAACTCCTCCTTGTGCACAGGCAGAGAGCACAGGAAGTTATTAGCTCACAGGGTTTAAGGCAAAATCAACAGGTATTTTTGTACTTCTCAAACTGATATACCGAAACAATATCAATTGTATATTTAGCAGATCATAAGGGTGTAAATAAGAAAAGTTCATTGTTAGGGTTTACAAAGACTTCTAAATTATTACAGTTTTTGAACATATCTGGAAAAATACTCAACTGAAGATAAAAGAATACTTTCAAGTCAATGAAGGCAAGGTTGACTGCGCTGTAACCCTGTGGGAAGCTATTATCAGAGGTTATAGTCTCTAGCGCAGGGAAGAACATTAACGCAAATTAAACTGCTAGACTGAAAGTGGTTCTAAAGGCTCAAGGTTTTTTACCTTTAGGTAATCTATGCATGAAGGTAAAAAAAGCTTCTGTATGATCCTCTACCCCAGAACCCTGTGAGGTGTCTTGTATTGCTACTGCCAACTTAGTTTTTGACTACTTCGTAATACCTTTGTATTGCCACTTTTGTTTTTTATGGATAATTCCGGTTATGATTGCCATTGCTTGCCCTGCGTGGGCTGGACAATTTCCTGTTAATTACTTGCTAAAACTAAATAAACATTATTGAAATAGAAAGAGCAGGTACAAAACAAAGGCTAAAAAAAACAAAAAAAAAGACAGCAGAGGCAGATGTCTGCAGACATGCAGGTCGCACACAGCACAGACCAAACAAGCCCCATGGCAAGAGTGAAGTTGTGGAAACAGGATCCTTCTTCAAACTGCCAAATGCTCAAATCTTCTTATCTTGACAAAGTGAGTGAATTTCCAGACCAAATATTCTTGACAGTGCTTCACATTTCAGACTTCAAAAGCAGTTAAAACTGTTCTAGGCGTGTGAAAATGCGGTGACAAACAGCATCCTGTACTTATTGGAAATCTGTGGCTAGGATGCTTGGTGACCAGTTAATGTAAAGAAAACCAATGTGCACCTTTAGCCCCCAGTCACATCGGTGCGATTTTGCATGCCAGGCGACTTGCAAATCGTATGCCAAATAGTGGACAATAGGGTGCAAACTACAGCGGTCATATTGGTGCATGCACTACTTTTGATGCGATTTGCATAGACATCCGTGTCAGATGTCTTGCAAATTGCAAGGAAATCGGCAGGTCACCCGATTTTGAAATCGTACAACTTCACTGTAAGTCACACGATTTCAAAATCGGCTTTGATGTGACCGGGGTGTAAGTTTCTTGACTTCCCCCCAGCCCGGACACCACCCCCCATTGACTTCTCCATCATGTCCAACAACGCCACCATCAAACCCGCCCCGCAGGCGAGAGTACTTGGTGTCATTCTGGACTCCAACCTATCCTTCCAGCCCCAAGTCCAATCTTTAACAAGCTCGTGCAGACTCCACCTCCGCAACATCGCCAAAATCCGCACGTTCCTAACCCCAGAAACCACTAAACAGCTCATCCCCTCCCTCATCATATCACGACTCGACTACTGCAACTCCCTCCTCACTGGCCTGCCTCACCGCTGGCTATCCCCACTTCAGTCGATCCTGAATACGGCTGCCAGACTCATTCACCTTTCCAACCGCTCCATCTCCGCCACCCCCCTCTGCCAATCCCTCCACTGGCTTCCGATTGCACAACGGATCAAATTCAAAATCCTAACACTGACGTAAAAAGCCGTCCACCACACTGCCCCGAACTACATCACTGACCTAATATCCAAGTACCACCCAGCACGCACACTCCGCTCCTCACAAGACCTCCTTCTCTCTAGTTCCCTGGTCTCCTCCTCCCACGCCCGCCTCCAGGACTTCTCCAGGGTGTCACCCATCCTCTGGAACTCCCTGCCCCAACCCATCAGATTATCACCTACTTTCCTCTCCTTTAGGCGCACCCTGAAAACCCATCTCTTCAGGAAAGCCTACCCCACCCCCTGCTAACCTGCCAACCTCCTCCACTCTTCCTACCACTCCATCCCCCACAGCTATCTCCTCCTGTGCCACCATCCCCTCCCTCCTAGATTGTAAGCTCGAAAGAGCAGGGCCCTCAATCCCCTCATGTTTTGCATTGTATTGTTATTGTTCTGTCACATGTTCTGTCCCTCTTTGTAATGTACAGCGCTGAGCGAACTATCGGCGCTTTATAAATACTGTATAATAATAATAATAAAATATTAATAAGTGAAGACCAGAGTTTATTAAGAAGCCTTAAGAAAATAGCATAGCACATTTCAATTAACTATGTGTTAAAGCAGGCCTTGAAATTTCCACTTGCATGCTCGCATTGGCGAGTGGAAATTATGGTGGGGGCAAGTGTGTCCCCAGGGCCGTCTTGCTGAGCAGGCTTGGAACTCAGTGTCGGATCTGTCACTTGCACTGGGAGTTGTCAGACTGCTCAGTACTTGAGCAAAGTGAAAGCAAAGGAAAGACTGTGTGCTGTGCTCTCTGCCTCCCCCAAGAGTGCAGTACCCGGCTCTGTACGTGAAGGTAACAAAGTACTGCAACTTTTTATAGGGGTGTGTGTACATGTGTATGTGTGTATGTACATGTATCTGTGTGTGTGTCTGCATGTACATGTGTCTGTACATGTGTGTATCTGTACATGTGTCCGCGTGCACGTACAGGTGTCTGTGTGCATGTGTATTTCTGTGTATGTATGTACGTACGTACGTACGTACATGTGCCTGTGTGTATATACATGTATGTGTGTCTGTACGTGTGTGTGTGTACGTACGTACATGTCTGTGTATAGGTGTCTGTGTGTGTGTGTGTGCACGTGTCTGTATGTAAACCTACATGTATGGGTGGTTTGATCAGGTTCAGGATTATGTGGTTATTATGGGTGGTAGAGTATGGGGCATTTGAGGTACTGCGGGGTTGGATAGTAGGTAGTATATGCTTGGTAGAGTTATGGTTTTTGAGTGAAAGATTAGGGGGAGTTATGGTTGTATGCAGTGCATGGTCTAAGTATGATGGAGTGTTTAGGGGGACATTGGAGGCCCTGATGTAATGTGGGGGGACTCTGGGGACCCTGATGTAATGAAGGTAACATTTAACAGTGTAATTTCATGAAATAATTTACGGGGGCGTTTAGGGGTGAAATTAGGGGTGTAGCAGGGTAGGGGTTGGGTGGGCAACTGGTGGCGAATAACTCTTAAGGCCTGGCTAGTAGCTCAGGACTTGAAATTTTAAGCACTGTGTTAAAGAAACAATAAAATGTCAGCTGAGCAGGCTACAGTGCACAGGGAAAATAAAGTCTTACATATAGGATTAAAAAAGGGGGATAGTGACAGACTGATAACCAGCTCCCAACTCGCACAAATAACCAATTCTGCTTAAAGATTCAATTCTTTACTATAAAATAAGAAGTCAAAAATGTAGGTGTGTATTTACTATGTTTACATACCAAGTAAAGGTAATCAAAGATTAGAGATGCTTTATCCATTTGTCCCAAAATCACCAGCATCTCATTGTCTATGTATTCTTTGTACTCTTTTAAATTGCAGCTTAGTTTCTTTTCCAGCTCATTTCGAATCTAGGAAGAAGACAAAAGGGCTCAAAAAAAGATTTTACAATTCACTGGAATGTAGCATTGGAAAGATTGTATACTGCTCACTTCTTTACAAGTCACATTCTCCAAGTCTTTGCTCATCATGACACTCCGCAAAGTAGCTTTGATGACCCATTCAGTCCTTTCACCTTCACTTGGCCTATACAAGAGGAAATGCTAGAGTACATCAAAAACAGACAGGGAGATGTATACTGCACTTCAAGAGCACAAGAGCCAAGTGTAATGTATTGCACAACTGTATCCCATGTGATGTTTTCTTTCTTGTTCTCAATAAAAGAAGTGAAAGGTGCCTTCCCATTGCACAGAAAATGTTTCTAAAGATCTGCATACTCCCTGAAGGAAGTAGATATGCCTTGGGTTCTCTGACAACTGGTCATGCACTGCTTGAATTGTGGACAGTTGCTGATGAACTGGCTAAAATCCAAAAAGTGGGTGGCCCTATCAGCCCCCTCCCTTTTTTGAAAAATCAGATGAAGGCACAATTTGGGTAATTTGACAGCGAATGGGCTGGCTGTCAAAATACATAAGTCCCAGCAGGAAATTTGTACATCCATGGTGTGCAACATGAATGGAGGAATCTGTAAGATATTTATTTCAGTTTAGCCTAGTTCAAATTTCAATACCATGTCAAAAATCATTATTTAACCAAAATTTCCATCACACATTATATATAAAAAAGGGTGCCATCGGATGCTGCAAAATAAAACATTCCTTCATAATATAAAGTGTATACAAAGCAAACTTTTTTTTCTTTTTAGTTCTGGATAGAATAGGAAAGGATTAAGACCCTTTTTTTTTTTACTGTCTGTATAACATTGGGGGGTATTTCCCTTCACTTTTTGTACCAATGACACAGCAGGAAGTAAGAAAGGGATATCCATCATTAGACAGTTATTACCATTAGAATATTTCACCTCACCACATGTCCCTGTGATCTCATAAAATGTTGGATTTCCTACCACTTTCTGTACACAGACCACCATGACCAACAGTAAAGTTATTTCCCCAGTGGAGGACACATACAGCAATAAAAACCTAAAAAGGAGGTTGTAATATTTCCATATTCTACTCAAAACGTACACATTTTGGCTTTATACACACTCTATAAGTTTCATTCCTCCCATAAGCAAAAATAATGAAAGTATTTACTAAAGTAATATCTGAATGGGTGCTTGGTGCAGCAAGGTCAGTAGACAATACATACATGGGTAAAAACTTTTACCCGGTTCTAATGACTATTTTTCAAAACCACCCCCTTTATATGTCCAAGATCATTGACTACGCCTGGTATTAGGCAACACGTGTAAAATAAAAATATGTTGCTATTTAACAGAAATGCTTCTTATTAGGATACACAAATTCAGAAATCTGATAGGACTGGGATACTCACTTTTCCATGAAGAGGATGGGGGAATCGGGCCGAGTAGACTCCAGGTCCTGCATGGTATTCCACTCATTTATGCAACTTTGGTCAGAGCAGATACAGCTCTCATAGTACGAGGCCCACACAAGAGCCAGCCCTCCAGGAAAGTAGTTGTATCGTCTGGCAACTTCACAGGCCTTGTGTAGGACTTGAAGGGCTGACCTGTTTTAGATTTTGAGAGAAAACAGACTTGAATAAACATGCATTAGGCCACAAAAAGCATAAAAGCAGATAATTAAGAAAAAAAAAATAAATAAATCTGTATTTAATATTTGCTATTCTTGTTACACACATCACACTTTGCCTAATCATTAACCTTCTTTAGTGTTCAGAAAATGATGTATGAAACATGCATTTTTCATTAAAAGAGAAGTATGAGCTTTTATTCCCCCCCCCTTCCCAAATTATACTTACTTAGGTGGATGCAGAATTGGTCCAATGCTGCATCGGTCCCCTGCCGGCTCTAAGTGTGAGAACTCAGCAATCACGTGACAGCTGAGTTCTCACATTCGCTCTGAGCGGAGAGCGGTGACTGTTGGTACCGCTGTCTGCTCTGCCCCTCCAGCGCTCACTCGAGCACTGGGCTGTGGAGGGAGAGGGAGCAGTTGGCTCAGCAGCTCGCTGAGAGGCTAAGCCAGGTGCCGCTCCAGACTCTTGGGGGGATCCCAACTTTAAAAAGTACGGATCTTTCCTCAGCCTGGACTGGCTGAGTGACGTCAGCCGACAGCGGGCTTCAGCCCACTGTCAGCTGAAACTGGGTCACAGGAGTGCAGAACGGACTGCACTCATGTAATCCACAGGAGAAGTACAGCCAAAATAATTTCTACTTTACACAATGCCTCACGTATGGTGGGATTCTACAGTGGTTCTTATCTGTAAAGGAAGAAAGGTATATACCCTAAAGCTGGTAGAAAATCTCAAAATATTACTATTTCAATAGCAGGACAGTAAACATTTATTTCACTTTTACACAATTCTTATCTACAGTGTATATATCCATAATATATACACACTCTGTTTTGATTTAACATCTTTATTGTTTCGGAAATCTTAATGGTTTCTGTTTATGATCGCAGTATGAAATTGCACAGATTCCTTTGCGTAAAAACAAACACAATAGACTATGAACTACACAGGTTCCCCTATTAGTGAAACTGTAAAAATAAGTTCATCTTTGCTTAGCCAGTATACAAGGGTGGCAGCTCTAAAGCAGTATTAAACATAAAACCAAATATGTAATATTTTGCAGCTTACAAATCATTAGATGTGGTGACTGCATTTGTTTTTTTAGGCTTTTTCCTTCTGTTTTCACCTGATGATCTGGCCAGTAACACACTGCCCGTATCAGAATGCCCCCACTCTGGATGAAAGAACACAGGGGCACCTTTGGGCAGCAGCATTGTCAGTCTTTGGGGAAGGGCGTGTTAGGTGTACTAGCAGATTTAGATACACTAACACACTGAAGCCAAACTCCAGCTCACTCTCCAGTTACACAAACAGTTACAGCAACAGTTTTGTTTCCTTTTAGGATAAAGGTTTTAAATAAACAAATAAAAGCTGATCGTTGCAAGCACCCTTGTCAGTGGTAAATGGCTTGTCTCTGCATTTTTACATTTACAAGAGAGCTTGTTCTTTTGAAAAAATAAAAGACTTACTGGCCAGATCACCACGTGAAAATACAGGAAAGAAAGCTTTAAAAAGAAAAAAACTATCACATCCAAGAATTGGTAAGTTGCAATACAATGTTTGCTTTTGGGTTTATTACCGCTTAAAGAGATAATACACATGGAAACTTCCTTAGTTTAATTAAATAGAAAAAGGACTACATTTTCGTGTTATTCAATGAAGCAATGTATAGGCCAGCATAGTCCTACACAGTGTTGCATGTCTGTTCATTTGTAAGTTATAGGGACAGATGTATACATATTGAAAGATCTTTGACAAAGGTCAGTGCAGTACCTGGCTTAATCTTCCAATGATCTACCATGCATTTATAAAGCTGCAATGAAACATTTGAGTGCATTGTGAAATTGTACTGCACATATAGTAAGTAATATATAACGCTTATACACAAAATCACAAATATATGAAACATACCTACTGAGCCCGCATGCCATAATTTTTGTCTATGCATGGTTAAGGATGGCTAAACAACATTAAAAACCCTGTGGAAGAATGATTCCTACAGCTACAAAAGTTTTTGGAATATATGAACAATTTGCTGAAACCGCATATTTCAGTAAAAACTTAGATGAAACAGTCATGTATGATTAATCTTAGCTGTTCTATGAAAACAGCAATTAAAAAGCACCAAAAGTAGTTAGTTTTGGCCTCTGTGCCCGTCCATTTGTATCATTTGCATTTGCCCTTAGGAAACCTAGGGAGGAATGTGAAGAAAAGACAAAGCTGGAAAGAATGAGAAGAAAAATTTGACAGGGAAGACAGATGGGATAGGAAGTCACAAGAACAAACAATAGCACTCTACCTTGTCCATGATACACTGTTATGATTACCTCTTCACTATCAGAAATGAGGTAATATTGGTGGTATCTAGCATATCAGAACAAGCATATGCATAATGATGACGAATGCAAACAACAACACTTGCTTACCACATGGCTTGGACGGATACTGGTTTGAACACATGGGTTCTCCCTGCAGTGTTGACACTAAATCCACTAAGCAAGGAGAAAATAAAAGAAGTTTAGTACTTAAAAAAAAAAAAAAAAATGAAATATTTCATAATGAAATGCACACATGCTGTTCTGCAGAGATCCAAGAAAAGTGTACATAATCACTCAGGAACAACTCTCCTCACCAGTGGACCCTTGCATAAGCAAAAGTCCAGCAGCACTTGCAGAGAACATATTATGCAGTATACAATATGCTTACATGATGTGATCTGTTGTCCATGATGCTACAGGATTTAAAAAAGCAATGTTGACCTTTCCTTATGAAAGGGTCCACAGTTTCAGTGAGTGACTTTCTGTGTGACAATGTGCACCTACCTTTCTTTGATCACTACAAGGCACAGCGTATTTGGGTTTTCAATACTGCAAGAATACTGGACTTTATTATTACAGAGTTGCTTGTAGTGTCAAATAGGGAACACACAAGCGTGGATGGGTCCCTGCAAATCTTTGAAGCAGTTAATCCACTGGGGATGCAGTTAAATATTTAAATAACAGAAATGGCTCTGGTTAATGTCTGGGAAAGATATGACCTAGTAAACAAACAATGCAGCAGTTGATACCTGTATCTTTTTTTTTTTTTTAGGCAATCTCCAGTCCCAACTGCACCTCCCCTTCTAGCTGTCAGACAGGATTATCTCTACCTAAAGACCTCCTTTTGCAGCCGCCCATAGAAGTTTCTATCTCATGCCATCAAGTTGCAGACTGCATAGGGAGAGTTACCCATATTTCAAAAAGCACTTCCTTTTATTAAAAAATTGTGAGTAAAAGTTGTATTTTTAAAAACTGCTCAAAGCTGAACTCCAGGGAGATAGAAAAGACATCAATAAATGCAGTCCTATACTCTTAAGGCCCCGTTCGAACCTGGTGTAGCAGAAACAACTGTTTCTATTCACAATTTTTAAAGCACAATTTAAAATGCAGAAACGCATGTTACGCATAGAGCAGCACATTCACTTCAATAAATGCATGTTTATCACCCAAAAGAAGCTCCTGCTCCTCTTTGGGCGACAAGCTGATCAAAAATCGCCCTATGCGAAAGGGACCTAATGCTTTATTAATTGTGTGGGGGTTTTTTTGTTTTGTGTTTTTAATATAAAAGTAAGAAGTGTAAGTAATTGAATTTGACTTGGTACCAGCCTCTTTCAATCAAGTGTACAGCAAAGCTCAGACAGTGGAGAGGAAGAACTGAGCAATGAACCAATCAGTGGTGCTCATGAGCTGACAAAAAACATGCGTACAAAGGAGAAAGCACAGTGACAGAAAGAGAAGCTTAGCAAAGTTCCTCTTCTCCTTTCACTGTTCAATCACAGGCTGAGGGGGATTAGGACCTTATTTTTTTTAACTGCAGCAAGGTAAACTTGGGTATTTTTCTCTGCCAGACAGGGCTGTGCTGTGTGGCAGAGATGTACAGATCTCAGGACTGGAGGTACAGAAATACAAAAAGGTATAACAGCTCCCATAAATGTTTTTTCTATCAGTGTATTCAGTTCTTTGCCTGAAGTCCAGCTCAAATAAAGTTGCAAGCATCAAGTGCCTTCTCTGTTGCTTCCTTTTGCTTGCGAGTAGTGAAAAAAACTTTAATACCCCAACTATACTAAAAAAAGTGAGTCAGCTTTAATATCAAAACAAATATTAGCAGAACTTACAGGCTCTTGCTGTTTTTATAAAGGTTTTCCACCACGTTTCCTCCTCATACTGCCCCCTGGTCACAATTCCCAAACCAAGTTATGTGGGTGCCTCTTGTGTTTGCCCAGGCCTTTGAAGCCCACCAGACGCTTCACTATGTTTATGTCCTTGTTTAGAACTACAATCGTACATGCTGCTATTCCCGAGAGGGACACAGAGCCAAAACCAAGCGGACTTGAAAGCTGTCAATCAAAAAATGTGGGGAAGGAGGTGTGGCTGTATTTCTGTTACATCTTGCTCTGCCTCTGTGTGCAGCGCTGGGAATGGCTCTATGTAGTGGAACTTCATTAGGTCCAGGCAGGAACAGAGACACCCACATACCTGTCAGACAGTGCAGGCAGGGGGCAGTATGAGGGACATAGCAGGACGGACCCACACACTTTTTGCTATTAGCAGCTCAATTAGCAAACACAATGGAACAACCCTTAGGCTGGCCATACATTATACAATTCACTTGTACACATTTTCCTTTAGAGTTATCAAAACCATAATAGGAGATCAAGTCTAAACACACGCCCAGATTGCAATCACGCACGCCCTTGCACTACAAAAAGTTAAAAGGTAAATTGAAAGGAAATTTTGCCAAGAAAATCGTGTAATGTATGGCCAGCTTAAGGCCCCTTGATGGCTACAATGAGGAAAAAAACACCCAAATATATGAAACATTTTTAAGTGAAAATGTATTACAACAAAAAACCTCTTTGCCAACACATTATAAAAAGTTAGCCTATAACAGGACAGCAGACATTTAAGTCATCTTTTCACTTCACTTTGTACCATTTGTATTTACTCATATGTCTGTTTCACCGTATAAATCACAGATGAGCTAATGATATTTAAATGTTTCATGCAGTAAACAAGCTGGTATGTACTCACTAACTGCATCAACAATGAATAATCTATGTATTTCAATAAACAATAAAAACATGTTTCAAATAGCAGTTTCACTTGTATTCCTTCACAATAAGGGAAAAAAAAAAAAAAAAGTATTAGATTTTATGCTCTCTTTAGAAAGGCCCTCCCAACCCTCTTGAATTGTACTGTAACTGTACTCTCTTCCTTATATTGCAAAGTGCCATGCAAAACTGTTTGAGCTAAATAAATTCTGCATAATACCACCAGTAATAGAAGAAGATCACAACTCACCCATCTCCATCTAGGCGAATGGTGGTGTCACTCCATAAGTTCAGAACCATACCGATGGTGCAACTTTTACTGGGGCAGAAAACAAGCTGTTAGAGTGGATACAGTCAGGTCCATAAATATTGGGACATCGACACAATTCTAACATTTTTGGCTCTATAAACCACCACAATGGATTTGAAATGAAACAAACAAGATGTGCTTTAACTGCAGACTGTCAGCTTTAATTTGAGGGTATTTACATCCAAATCAGGTGAACGGTGTAGGAATTGCAACAGTTTGCATGCTGTATAACTCACCTTTCTTTACTGGTGAAATCCACCCCCAGAAGTATATTCTCCTCTGTGTCTTGCCGCCCACTACTGTACACCACAACCATGTAACGCACACGATCTGACCAGCTGCTCTCCAGGCGGACAGCCTTTAACAAACAAACAAACAATCTCTGTAAGCATTTGAAGGTTGACCATAGACTTTAAGAGGGCCAAAAAAAACAAAACAAAAACACCAAAAAAACCCCCCAAATTTCAAGTTGAATGTTCTTTTGTCTGTTTTTTCTCTGAGTCACGGAGCACAGTTCCCCCTTTATATCAGTGTCCAAAGTCCTTCTTTACATCACAGTTCACCCTTTAAAGCAGTCCCACAGTGTTCTCAGTTCCCCCTTCACATGACAGATCACAGTACTCTTTACAGCGCAGTCCGCTTTATACCACAGTGCCCCTTTACAGTGCAATTCCCTTTATCACAGTGCCGTTTTGCAGTGCAGTCCCCTTTATATCACTGTGCCCCTTTACATTACAGTGCCCCTGGCAATCACAGCCTCCCCATCACAGTGCCCTTGCAGTAATGGCCCTTCTTTCGTCTTTTACATCACAGTGCCATCTTTCAATCTCAGCCAGTCCTGCAGAGTCCTACCTTCAGCAGGGCAGAGGCAGTTATTGGGCCTGGGTGTTCTCTCCCAGATCTCCCGCCCTGCCAACAATGTCATGCTATTAGCAGGGCAGGGGACGGGAGGGCGATTACCCACTTGTTAATATGAAAAGACTCCCGCTCTGTCCCGATCTGCTGCTCTCCTGCCCCTCTGGGGAAATCATCCTATCAGCAGGGCAGAGGGCAGGAGACCAGGGAGAGGACATGCAGGCTACTATGTTACACCGGCATGGTCCAGACAGGATTGTCACAGACTGCTGTCGCTACTCACCTTCTGCTGGGTGGCCCAGTTATCAACAGGCCTTGGACTGGTACCGGTCCATGACCTGGGCGCTGGGGACCCTGCCCTAAATAAAAGGCACAAAAAAAATGAAAAGGTGCCTCCCCATTCCCCAGTTTCTGCTGCACTTACCTCCATGGATGATTAGCAGTCAATATCCACACTGCTGATGCAGCGGTCCGGTGATATCTTCCCCTTCTTTTTTTAGGGCTTCCAGGATGGATAAGAGTGATTCCGATTGGTCAAAGTGGTCATGCACCAGGGAGGGTGTAGGATGTCAGTTCACCTTGTCATCTTTTGTGCAAAGATGAACTTGTATCTTAAATAACCTTTGAACCCTCCTTCTTTCCCATTCTTTTTAAAAACATTCCTTTTTTTTTTAAATTTATCCTTCCTTTTCTTCTCTATTCTCTGGCTACAGGTGGCATTGTGTTCTTCAACTACAATAAACAGCTATTACTAATCATTTTACACAAAAAAAAAACTAAAAAACACTTGTGTGCTTACTTTACACACATTGCCATGACAATGTGTAAAAGATCTAGGCAGTTCCTTTACATGAACCTTAAGAATCTTCCATTATAAAATTGTAATTTTAATACTGTTGATGAGTAGTCAAAGTTCCTAATTTAAAGAAAAAAAGTTAGCATCTATGTACATGTGGTGAATCTTACCAGTTTGATACGATCCTCAGAACGGAGAAGATTTATCATCACCTGGAGGTGCTGAGGTAGATCTCCTAGAAAAAAAAAAAGCGCAAAAAAAAAAAAAAAAAAGCATAAGTATAACTAAAAAGGCAAAACTATTGCTATTTTAAAGTATGCTAATTTTCAAATTTTTGTTGGGATGTAATCACGGGCATTTTTGCCCTATTTATATATAACTAATTAATATCTGTTAAGCCCCTGTAGTGTCCCCTCTTGCCACCCTTGGGAGTGGCCTGGAGCAGTGTATTCTTTCCATGGCCCCAACTGGGAGATTCTTGGAGGTGGCAAAACGTGTTGGTTTAAATTGTTTCCAAAACTGCATTAAACATGATCTATGATTCAAGTACAATTTATTCAAGTAATTCATGTATACATGTGCCTTTAAAGTCCCAAAAAAAGGGTTTGTTCCATATTTTAGACAAATTTAGTTATACAGTAGATGAAGCGTAAACAGCCTGAAGTCTGTCTCTTGAATTACAATGGCCACAGAAGAACATATCACTGTAAAATGCGTGGTTTCCTAGGTTATTCATGTGCCCACCTGCCCAAGAATGCCTTGTTTACATGGGCTGCTTTTGTGATAGCACTTAAAATCAATCTGCTGCGTTTCACTTTTAGGCCTGTTTAACACCGGGAATTGCACAGGACCACGCTGTGTGTTCCTGTTCAATTCACATGCAGTTTTGTGCGGTGCAATTTTTAGCCCATTCATCCTGAATGGGCTGAAATTGCACTGCACCACATTTAGTGCATACAAACTCACTGCAATTACAACTGCCTGTGTGAACAAGGATTTAAAAACGGTAGTAAACTTTTTCTTTTTTTACGGAAACAAACACACCATGGGCACCGTGTGGTTTACGCAACAATGTGCTAGTATGCACAGCATACTAGCATTTATGACATCTTAACTTAAAACAAAGTCTTTCAGCGGTGCACTGTCACCACTGACAGGATTTCCATCTTCACCAGGTCTTCCTTCCGGGGTTCGCAAGCTGCAGCTGCTTGAATGGCAGAGCAATGATGACGCCTCTCCCGCAAATGCGCAGGTGACATCACTGGCTGAATCCGACAAGTTTAGGAGATATTCACTGTACCTACAGGTTAGTTTTATGTAGATAAAGTCGGGACCATGTGAGGATGAATAAAATTTCTGTTTATTTCATCCAAGGAGTACACATGTTCCAAACAGAGCCAACATTAGGGGGATTTCCTCCATCCACCTCATGTGTGGATGAAAAGCTGTTGTATGGCATCTATGGCCAGCTTTACACAGTCTCAATGTACAGGGAAGGCAGAAAGCCTTGTTACCAGTCAAGGCAGTTTGCATGCATGTATGCAGTTGACAATTCACATATATGCAGATTGGATGCAGTTTGAACCGCATCCAATCCGCATTACATGTGAAATAACATAGGCAAAAGGTACATATTCACCAGCACACCATGGATCTCCAATATGGTCCAAAAAGGGTTTTTATTGCAAAAAGATCACATCAGAAAAGAAAATGAAATGTTTCAGCGCCGCGCAGGTCCCCTTCATGAGGCATGTAATGAGCACTGGCCGTGTGGATTCAGTGCGGATTGAAAAAAAAAGAGTTATGTGCAGTTCGGTTCAGGTGCGGATAACAGGCTATTGACTTCTATGAGAACAGTTTCTAAACTGCACATCATCAGCTGTAAACAGGATAAAATCCTGACCTGATCCTGATCTAAACATGTCCTGATCCACTGAATAACTACTGTATCATTTAGCTGTGAAACCTGAGCTTCATTCCACACCACACGGCACTAAAAAATACATACATAAAACTACTGCATGCACTGCGACCAAATAAAATTAAATAAAATGTAAGTTTGAGACATTCCAGTAATGTTCTAACAATAAGAAAGGGGTTTAGTGTGCTGCACAGTTTCCAGCACTTTGGCACACCAGTGATTATGCCGTAGTGTATGCAGCTGGTGTGAATAAGCTGTTAAAAATATATATGAAAAATGATACACCACGTACAAATATGCTGTATCCAACTGCAACAAGTAACATTTTCAAATAAAATACAAACTAAATCTAAAAAAAAAAAAAAAAAATGAAGTATATGTGGAAGAAATATAACAAGGGGTTGTAATAAAAGAAAATAAATAAAATATTCAGCCTTGAACTAAAGCACTTTCCATTAAAGTTCAAGCGATTGTTTCATCTTTCCCCTGAGGTCAGCTGGAAGACCTACGTTCTGAAACATTTGTCAGATTGGAAGGCATGCATGTGATCTGCCCCAAGGAATCAAAGTAACACAATTAGCTGCAAAGCCAATAACGATCCTGTATCCCTCAGATATCCTTTGACCTTACGGCCACCCCGTACCAGCATTCTTGTGCAAGTGTAGAAGACTCCTTTGTCCTTGGTAGCAGTTGCCCTGCTGCAGGAAGAGGGCAGCACCCTTCACCATGAAAAAGCTGTCGCTCAAACTGAAAAAAAAAAGAACATAAGCATATACAAATAGAGTAAGAGTTAATAAAATCCAACTGATTCCAGACCAAGTCCAAATATATATTTTTTGATGGCAGCAAAGGTTAAATTGTAAATAAATACATATTTTAATAAGTACAAAACCATTATCGTTCATGTTCAGCTCTGGTGAATAAGGAACACTAAAAGTACAAAAAGCAAAGCTCTATGATAACAAATTTCATCAATGCAAATCACCAAACACACTGAAGACACAACAAAACTTCAAATGCAAATAAGAATATCTCCATACTATTTAAAGGGCAAAGTTATGTCACGTGTGAGTGAGCGTATGTTCCTTATTTCTTGATAAACAAATGAGCTTCCGGCACAGTGAAAAATATGACAGTACCTACACTTGGTTCAGACTGGCTTCCAATGGTCCTGCACTGCTGCTCTCCATGTGAGAAGCATCATAATGGGGTACAGTCACATGCACCTCTAAAGCATTTGAAGACGCACTAGCCATTAAATCCTCCAAAGAAGGATTTATTGTATTCTATCCCAGATTTCAATCAGTCCTGCAGCCCTGCCTTTTCATAGCCAAGCAAACAAAATAAAAAGTAAAAGATTTTTCTGCAGCCCAAGATGAACAAAAAAAAAAATTGGTGTGTTTAATATCTTCTTCTCGGATGCGTCCATCCCTTCACACGGGAAAGATGACTTAACGTTTCTCTAATTCATTCACATGGCAGCATTATTAGGTCACTGGAGGGATGGTAATACTCATCAGTATCATATAGCATAGAATAGCCTGTCAGTGAGTAGTACAAAGAGCTGTGTCATCAAAAGGTCAATACTAAAGTCCATATGATGTGCCAAGAGACATTAAATTTGTATGGAAATATTATAGAACACAGTCATTACATCTGTTTTGCGCTTTTACAAGCTGATTTTTGTATGAAAACCAATAATAGCACTAAACAAGTGGAGCCTTATCAGATACTTAAAGGCAAAGTCTAGAAAAGGAGATGACAAAAACTAAATCAATGCAGCCAGTGTGGTTGGGTTCCCATTACCCACATTTGTCACTGCAGTGAATGGTGATGAAAAGCTGATGATATTCCCAAATGTGATAAACGATGTCAACTCATCAGTGCTTTGATTCAGGAATCAATACTCTTCCAGACAAGTTTTGGCAATAAAACTGAATTAAGCCCTATAAATCTCACAGTTAAAGTTTTAATGGTCTTTTCTGGCACAGGTGTACAATCAGAGCAGCCAAGTTGAAAATACACTTCAGAACTTACAGGTGGCACTCAACATTCCTTGGAATGTATTATTGCTATGGACAGTTCTCCCTATTCAAAGCTTTCTATCCATTTCCATTCATAGTTAGTTACATAGTTAGTCTGGGTGAAAGACAAAAGTCCATCCAGTACAATCATATATAAAAAAAAAAAAAAAAAAAAAAAAAAAAAAAAAAAAGTTATCCTACACCCACAGTTGATCCAGAGGAAGGCAAAAAAAACCCCAGCAAAGCATGATCCAATTTGCTCCTGCTTGGAAAAAAAAATATTCCTTCCTGATCCCCCGAGAGGCAATCAGATATTCCCTGGATCAACTTTACCTATAAATGTTAGTATCCAATTATATTCTGTGTATCCAAGAAACAATCCAGGCCTTTTTTCAAGCAATCCACTGAGCTGGCCAGAACCAACTCTTGAGGTAGTCTATTCCACATTTTCACAGCTCTCACTGTGAAGAAACCTTTCCATATTTGGAGATTACATTTCTTTTCCTCCAGACGTAAAGAGTGCCCCCTTGTCCTCTGTGATGACCTCAGGGTGAATAACACTACACCGATTTCACTATATGAACCACTGATGTATTTATACATGTTGATCATATCCCCCCTTAATCTCTTCTTCTCAAGAGAAAATAAATTCAGTTCCTCTAATCTTTCCTCATTCATGCTAAAAGGATTGGTTAGTACCTTTTCTAAACTATTACAAACACAAAACGTAACATGAAATACCCATTATCCAATTCAGTGGTCAATAGCCAAAGCATTTGTGACAAATTATGAAAACTTACAGAATTAAGGCAGCGAAGCTCTCCAGTCATCCCAGTCTACAGAAGAGCACAGTTCTGTGAGCAGCAAGAATATGTACTGGCACTGGGGACAAAGGCAGCTGACCAGTCCCTTCCTACACAACAGTCCTCTCAGCAACACATCCCAGACAGATGAAAAGACGACTGGACTGGCCTGGCATGTAACATGAATACAAAAGTGGAACAAAACATCTGGGAACTATGGCTTATCTTAGCAGCACAAAGTATAGTACAAGGACTGTTGATTAAAAGGAGAATTCCACGTTTTTGCAATATGGGTGCATGTACTGTATTTGCCGGCGTATAAGACGACCCCCCTACTTTTCCTGCTAAAATGTAGTGTTTGGGCTATACTCGCCGTATAAGACTACCCCTCTTCCAATGCACACCAGTGGGAGGAATAGTGCCCCATCATTGATGTCAGTGGGAGGAATAGTGCCCCATCATTGGCATTAGTGGCAGGAATAGTGTCCCATCATTGGTATCAGTGGAGGAATAGTGCTCCATCATTGGTGTCAGTGGGAGGAACAGTGCCCCATCATTGGTGTCAGTGGGAGGAATAGTGCCCCATCATTGGTATCAGTGGCAGGAATAGTGCCCCATCATTGGTATCAGTGGGGGGAATAGGTGCCCCATCATTGGTATCAGTGGCAGGAATGGTGCCCCATCATTGGTATCAGTGGCAGGAATAGTGCCCCATCATTGATGTCAGTGGGAGGAATGGTGTCCCATCATTGGTGTCAGTGAGGGGTGGAATAGTGCCCCATCATTGGTGTCAGTGGGGGGTGGAATAGTGCCCCATCGTTGGTGTCAGTGGGGGGGGGGAATAGTGCCCCATCATTGGTGTCAGTGGGGGGGAGGAATAGTGCCCCATCGTTGGTGTCAGTGGGAGGAATAGTGCCCCATCATTGGTATCAGTGACACCAATGATGGGGCACTATTCCTCCCACTGAGACTTGCTGACCCTGTTCTCGTATGGTGCTGCTGCAGCCAGCATATGTGGTTGCAGCAGCACCTCTACACAGAACCTTACCTGCTGCTCCGGCACTCAATTTTCGCGGGGTCGCTCGGCTCCGCCCCCTCGCCGGTGATTGGCCGCCTGTGTGCCTTTCCTGAGCTACAGTTCTGGCGGCCAATCACCGGTGAGGAGGCGGAGCCGAGCAGCCGCACGAACATCCAGTGGCCGAACTGAAGGAGACGCCGCGCTTCCTGGACCGGATCGTCGTGGGACTGGATCCAGGTAAGAGACATCAACCCCTGCAAACCCCTGTACTTAATGCCGCAGCCCCCCCTAACATGTGTACCGGCGTATAAGACGACCCCCGACTTTTGAGAAGATTTTCAAGGGTCAAAAAGTCGTCTTATACGCCGGCAAATACGGTAATTGTTTTTGCAAATGTGCACGCTTTGGCTGCTGTGGAGCACAGGTGGAATGCTCCTACAGACTATTCCTCCAGCTCAGGTCTATACCAATGTAAAAGGATTCCAGTTAAGGAACTGAAGAAAATCTAAATGGACTACAAGGACAGTGAAGATGCCACACTTGTGCTCCATTGAGAACTACATGTAGTTGTTTCATTCACAATTCTCTGTGAATGCATGACGAGGCTGTGTGGAGCCATACACAGCTAAAAAAAATTAAAATTTTACAGGAGCTGGTGTGGAGAAGAACCCCTGAATTGTGAAGGGGGGGGGGGTGGACTCTGAGGAGGTTTCATGTTAAACCCTAAATATGGGTGTAACATGAATCATACTCTGAAAGGCAGAGTTAGCATCACTGCTCCACGAGAGTAGAGATGAAGGCTTAGTTGTTGACTTTTGACAAAGTCAAAAACTGCCGATCAGTTGTTCAGGATGCACATTTTTCAAATTACATCCGGAGTGGGAATTTAAAGAGATCAACTCTTCCTTCAGAAAGTTTGCCCTGCTAAGCTGCTAGTATATACAAAATGTAGGCAATTAAAAAAAAGGTACCTGAAAATATTGTAAGTAAGCGTGAATTAAATAAATAAAACTCCCCAGCCCTTTAACCTATTCTAATCTGCCCACACCCACCCAGGTGCGTTGTTGTGTTTACAACCATGTTGCAGAATACCTGTCCGCAGCTACACTACAATCATTTTCCATAGACTTAAAAGGAGGCCTTTCCTGAACCATATGGCTATGGCCTATTCAAATCTTTAGAAAACTGCTGTGCCTGCACTACTGTCCCTGTACGTCTTCCATGACAAGTTTACTTTACTCGAAGTTAGGCCAATATGAATGTGTAGATGGTAGAACAAAGTGGGCAGATCCAACGTTGACATGAAGGGGTTTATTTACTAAAGCTGGAGAGTCCAAAATCAGACTCCCTTCTGCACAGAAACCAATCAGCTTCTAACCTCAGCTTGTTCAATGAAGCTTTGGCAATGAAACCTGGAAGCTGATTGGTTTCTATGCAGAAGGGAGTCTGATTTTGGACTCTCCAGCTTTAGTAAATAAACCCCGAAGTGTCAGAGTTTTGCTGATCAGAATGGGATGTTTTGGCAGTAGTTGCAGGTCTAACATGCTATAGTTAGTGTGTGCAGGCAACTCTAGGTGCACTTTATTCCAAACAATTATTTTTGTTTTACTGACAGGGTCATTTTAATAAACGAAGTTTAGACTGCGTTTGTCTATTTGGAAAAAGTTAAAGGATAAGTTCATCTTTGGGAACATGTTATATGTTCCACTCGTTTTTAGGGTATAACATTATTTATTTATTACAGGTACTTCTATAGCGCTGTCTATTTTTGCATCGCTTTACGTATTGTACATTCACATCAGTCCCTAACCCTCAAGGGGTGCACAATCTAAGGTCCCTAACTTACATTCATACATACACATACTAGGAACAATTTAGAAAGGATCCAACTCACCTACCAGC